AACTTAAAAATGGAACAATTCTATTCAACCAATTGGGGAATCACGAACAAGTTTGAACCAAAACAGTTTAACGAAGGGCAAGGGCCTTTTCTTGGCCATTTTTTAAACGAGATGGATATTTTTTTCATAATATTTCTTCTCTTTATATATCATTATGAGATGTATTGCGAAAATCTGAATCAAAGGTTCCCTGCTGAGGAACTTATTAATATCGTATTCAAAATGGCTATGTATTTAATTATCTTTTTTAATTGCGTAAACTTGTTGTTTATGGTCGCAATTGAATTTACCAGGATGTATCTTGGTAATCGAACTGCTATTGGTGGTATCCCTATAAATTCAAATATCGAATTTATAAACACATCACGCCCGAATTTTTTCGCAAATAGTTCTTCAATGTGCTTATTACCTTAATTTTGTAGTAGAGCTCTATTTAGTTTTCGGAATGTGTAGTAGTGTTTCATTACTAATAGGGTAGATGACTAATTTTTATTTTAATGTCCGTCTGATAGATTATTTTAAAACATTACACACGTATTTTTTATTATTTTACAGAAACGAATACTTTCGACGATATATTGATTTGAAATGTCGCGTGATGTCACTTCTGTGTACAATACCCTTCCCCAATCTCCCCAATTCCTGAATCCCAAGCGATCCTCAAACTCCTAAGCCCCAAAAGCCCGGTAACGCACTTGTAACGCCTCTGGAGTTCCAGGTGTTCATGGGCGACACCGATTGCTTACCATCAGGTGATCCGTCAGCTCATTTACCGGCTTATGCCATAAAAAAATATATACGTAGAAATGTAAAAAAATGTATGCGTTTCAGCCCCCACTCCTAATCTTTGATTCGTTATATCTAAGTATCATTTTATTATGCGACAAAATAATAAAAAAATACGTGTCTAATGTTTTTTTTACTACCTAACTGACGGACTAATTAGATTTTAATTTTCATACCCTGTCATCATCCCTATTGAAGCTCTTAAAATCGATGGCGAAACAAACTTATTACTTGTATTGACGACTACAATTAAATCGCTTCTTTAAAAAAATATGAGTTAATCATAACATTACATTTTATTTATGTTTGCACAAAATAATTAATCTGTCTTCATGTCAAAATAATTAATTAATTAATTAATGGTAATTATTTTAATTAAAAATGATTAATCAAAATAAAACAATAGCAATGGCTTTTAAAATGTACGTTTATTCGTGAAATAAATTACAATAGTAGGTGATATGTCTTATATTTTAACTCACATACATTCAGGATTTAATTAAACATATTTTCATAAATTCTACGAATACTTATTATGCATAAAGAGATCTATAGTTTACACATTTTATACACTAATTATAATTACTTCATTCGATATACATTAATTATAATTATATATATATTGGTTTTATAATGATAACATAACAATATAATTATCAACAAAAAATGTATCACGATTGTATTCATCACTGTTTTTTGAAAACAATATTAATATCAGGCAACATACAAATGCCAATCGATTGAGAATTATTTATACAAACATAATTATATTTTCAAATGACAACAACTACCATTTTAAAAACTAATAACAATCACATTACGATTTATCGTCGAATAAAATACGATTAACGAATCGAAAAATGTATAACCCCGTTAAGTGTATGAAAACCATTTCTAAAATGATACGTAAAGTTAATCACGTGTAATCTATTCATGTCAGTAGTACATTATATTCGTAATTAAGCCATGTGGCGACAGTAGAGTAGAACGATCACTAATAGAGTACAATAATCACTCTGGGTTACGATTAATCACTCCACGTTACGATTAATAACTCGATTACACTCGACACGTTACGATTAGTAACGATTAATCTCGTAGTTATCAAGAATTTGTCTCCACATAAAATTCAAGTAAGGGACAACATATAACTTTGACTGCCATCAATGAACAGTGTTCTCTGATTTATTAAGACTTTTGTAAAATGCAATCTTCATCCCTAGCTTTTTATATAGCCAACAGTACAGCAATGGACCGTGATGGACTATTAATTATGACAATATTTTGATATATCAATTTGTTTTTTATAACTTTATCCAACCAAACTACTTTTCAATCAAGGACAATATTAAACATACAATTATTTGGGTACCGTCTCATCAGTTTCCAAAGTTGAGTACAAATACTACCTATTTGTATAAAATAGATACGGTATTTATACCAATAAGTATATCATGTCATTTGTACTATACATATTAAATACCACTTGTATTTTTCTCAATCTGTATAGGTACAATGTGTTTTTAAATCCAGTCCTATCCGATTTTTATATCCAAATTAAAAACTTTTCGATTAAACTTTGCAAAATAAAATACATATTAGATATTCTGAGAGACAGAATTTGTAATTTAATGTTTTTATGGTCTGTCAGGGTTGTTTTTATATAAAAAAAAGTGTACAACTGTACAAGAAAATCAAATTTTTGATAACAATGGTTGTGATACAAGTCTTATACCAAAGCATGTAAGACTGTATACGATCTCGTATTAGAATTTACATATTATGTACTATGTTTACGTCAAAATAGTTGGTAATATTACCAATATCGCATTTTTTACATTTGTGTACATTCTGTGGGTAACGAATAATCAATCTGGGTAACAAAATCACTCTGGGTAATAATTAATCAATCTGGGTATCGATTAATCAATCTGGGTAACCATTAATCAATCTAGATAACGATTAATCTCGCGATTATCAAGATTATTGTTCTTTATCTATGTGGTTTTGAGGTCTAAAATATTTGAATTCAAAAAATTGAATATTTTGCCAACTTTTTTGACGTAAACATGGTACCTATTATTTTATTTAAGACCTATTTTTATTTAGGTGTTTTTTTTTAAATATTAAGCTGTATCTTCCAGCCCTTTTTATAAATATTAGTATTTTTGGAAAGCACATTCTGAGCTACAAAATGAAAACCCCATTAAAAATGTCAGCTATGGTACAAATTGTATTATATATCACAAATACTATTAATTTACTACATATTTATAAAAACTTGACCTCAAATTTACCTTCCAACCTTTTAAAACTGGACTACCACTGGGTTTTCACTAATTAGTATAATAACATTTTTACATCTTCGAGTGTTAATTTATGAAAATGATAAATCAGAAAAAAATAACAATATCTTTCATTAAATTGTGTAACCGTGTAATTTATTCTTACTATGTTATTTATGTAGCATGTGTAATTGTGTGTATCATTGTAATAATTAATCAATTCAAACTTTTAGATTAAATTGTAAAATAAAACAATATTCAAATCTAAATACCGATTCAAAACACCGTGAAGTCATTAATCGATTCATTTACTTATCGATTTTAATCATCAATCGATATCTAATCATAGAAATCATATTCGCATAACATTGTTAACACAATTGTTTATTCTGTATTTAAATTTGAATATCGTTTTATTGTATTGGGTCATATTTATTTAGTAAAGGACAACTAGGCTAAAAGGACAGGAAAGCTAATGTAATCATTAGTAGGTTCCTTATATTTTAGGGCCCGGAGGTTTAAGACGCCCACTTTTCATGCATAAGAGTGCAGTTTCGAAACCTACCAATGTAACTTTTTCAGAGTTATATTTACTTTCTATTATTTAGATACCACTGACAAACGGTGAAGGAAAATATCGTGAGGAAGCCCGCATTGAGAGAGGCATTTGGTCAGCAGTGACCACTTATAGGCTGATAATATTGATGTTGAAGCTGTCCTTTACACTCCCTTATATCAGAAATAATAATTTACTTATTTAATACAAATGCTATTGTTATTATTTATGATGTAAGTAAAATGAATGAGTTTAAAACATAACTTTCGAAAGTTGATACGTACTATCTCGTATTTAGTTTATTTGTCCTTTACTAATAAATAAAGGACACTCCATATAATAATTATATCACTTTAACCTGTAGGTATTATAAATGGAATGAGTAGATGTGTGTTTACAAAATGATATCTATGTATCGTATAATAATCTTATACTATTATATAAAGCGGAAGAGTTTGTTTTTTTGTTTGTTTTAACGCGCTTATCTTCGTAACTACAAGTCTGATTTGAATAATTCTTTTTGTATTGGATAGCGCATTTATCGAGGATGGCTATAGGCTATAAAACATCACGCTACTACCAATAGGAGCTGAGCAGAGCGTGTGAAACCGCGCGGAAGTAGCTAGTATTCAATGTGTATTTTAGATAATAATCTAAGTTATTTTTGTCTATTCAATTATCTTGTACTTATATATATAGTAAATGGTATTAAATTATGTTAATAAATGTAATAATGTGACTCTAAATTCGTTTGATTCTTTCTACATTTTATTTTTTATCGCATTTTACAATATTCCCACACATTGCTTTAGATTTTGATGTACCAAAATCAACCTTACTGTTCTATAACGTGTAAGCGATATTAAACCTTATATTGGTAATTTTACAGTTGCTTTTGCAACAGAAGTGCCTACGCACTAAGGGCCAAACTTAAAATTTAAAACACAGATTTTTGCGAGGTTAAATAATAACAATACTAGTCTAAATACTGGTTAGTTATAAATTACTTTAAGAATAAACTAAAAATACAGAAATGTTTATAAACTGGCAAGAAAAATCACTGAAATCTTCAATTGAAAGAAATATGAACCTTAAACAAAAGCGTTAAAGTCTAAATTCAACAAGCATCAACTTCAGTATCACTATAATCTAAAACATGTCTTATTGCAAGGGCAAAAAGTCTATATTATTTCATATATTCACTACAAATAAATTCGATAGATGTAAACATTCAATTTTCAAAAATTAGCTTCTAATTTCAACAAACAATTAACAGCAAAACACAAAACGTTCTAACGCACAAAACAACACATTCTAAAATGTACTTTAGTGGTAGGTGCTAAAGTCTATGTTACCTTATAAATATATCACAGTTACTCCAAGGGTTTCCAACACACGATGGCTCTCATATCGTCGGGGGCTTTGCCGAAGATCCTGTCGCCGTTGGGGTCAACGTACTGGTTTATTTGATAGTCCAGGAGCGTCTGGTAGCCTAGTACATCTGTACCAAGTTGCTGTAATAAAGGGATTGATTTTTTTGAAAAACACACATAACATCAAGTCTTTTTATCCCCGAAGGGGTAGGCAGAGGTGTACATTTTGCCACTGTACAATGTAACACCCACTTTTCACTATTTATGTTATGAGTCCCATGTAATAGGGGGTGAGCCTATTGCCATATACCGGGCACAATTCCAGACTCCGTGCTACTACTGAGATTTTTTTTAAAAACCCAGTATTAATTTGGCCGACCCGGGTATCGAACCCGATACTATTAGTATAATATTTATAACATCTACTGTCAACATGTAACAAACAATAAATGAATTTGAATTTGAATTTGTCTATTGTTTAAATTCATTTAAACCTTACCTGTGTCAAAGGGCTAGTATTAGTGGTGAAGACGCCAAGGAATCCTCGCTCCTTGGCGATGTTCATGGTGGCGTTCTCCAGCGCTCTGATGGCTGCCACGTTCTCCCTTGGAGTCAGGCTCTCTGCCGTCGCCATCATGAAGGAGTGGAGGATTGTGCCTGTGAATGAGATGGAGATTGTAATCTATCTAATATATAAAAGAAAGTCGTGTTAGTTACACCACTTATAACTCAAGAATGGCAGAATAGATTTGGCTGAAAATTAGTAGGGAGGTAGCTTAGAGCCAGGAGACCGACATAGGATACTTTTTAACCAATTTTTTTTTTACTTTTTTCCGAAAATCACGAACGGGAAAAAATGGGATTACGCGTACGAAGTCGCGGGCAGCAGCACTGTAATAGAAGGAGATGTAGGTAGGTACTGTAATGCTTAAATACTGCTAGGGAGAGCATCATAGTATACAATCTTCCTAAAAGTAGTCACCGTACTCTAACACCTGGAACACCAGAAGTGTCACAAATAAGTACGTTGCAGTCCATGCAAGAATCTATTGTGTGTAATTGTGCTTTCTGTTCGCATTTTTATTTTTTTTAATCTGTTTCGTGACATTTTAATTGACAAATATATTTGTTTATATAAAACTAGCTTCTGCCCGCGACTTCGTACGCGCAATCCCGATATTTCCCGTTCCCGTTCTTGATTTTCGGTAAAAAGTAAAAAAAAAGAATTGGGTAAAAAGTATCCTATGTCCGTCTCCTGGTTCTAAGCTATCTCCCCACCAATTTTCATCCAAATCGATTCTGCCATTCTTGAGTTATAAATAGTGTAACTAACATGACTTTCTTTTATATATATAGATTTCTAACTAACTTAGTGACAGGATGTTTTAAATTCACTTATTTATTACAATAATGTATTTTTTAAGGGCCGAAAATCATTGAATGGCTTCTCCCGCCTGGGTGAGACGGGAGTGTCAGACTTTTACTGACTAAAAACCACCCCGTTCCTTCTCCTGCACGTCGAGCCGGAGCCCCGGTTACCCGTTAGGTTCTCCGCGACTCCGTATCGGCATCGGCCCTATTGGGCCCCATCCGTGGTGTATTTTTGCAGACGTAAAGTTAGAAGTCCGGATTAAATAACTAGGGTACTTTTTATCCCGGAAAAATGTGATATTCCCGAGGGAAAACAAAAGTATTGATATAGATGGCGCTGTGTGTATATGTCACATAGGCTACTTTTTATCCTTTTGTGACGCGAGCGAAGCCGCGGGTAAAAGCTAGTATATAAGTTTGAATTTTGAATAGTGAATTTTTCTTCGAACAATATTATGATGCCGCGGAATACCACCATTTTGTAATTTGCATGCCTCAAGGCGTAATATGGTCGGAACTGTACTTTTCTGCTAACAACTTAACGTAATTTACCCATATTAACGAATAAATGATTGATTTGATTTGTTTAGTAATACAATCAAACAACCGATTGGGCTTATGCAACTCTTACTTGCTAGACGCTGTAATGACGCAATAATAATTACTATAATTGTAGTGTTAATCGAAAAATGGTAATCAAGTAAATACTTTGCCCACACTATAAGTCGAGGTCACCCATCACCTTCAATTTATCATTGATCCTATAATTCTAATTTACAGAAAAATCGTGTTCAAAACTCACCCTTTCCAGGTGGCAGCATAGAATCTCTGACAGAACTTTCGACGAACTCCAAGAACATCATGATCTTCATCAGCCCACCTGTCTCTTCAGACTCCACGTCAGGTTCATCTCGAGCGTCGAAGTTTAATGCCACAGCAACTGGGACTCCTGATGCTGTAGGAAAGAAGGAAGATTTCGTATGTTCATCATCGCCATTAACCAGAAGATTATTTATTATAGAAAGCCGAATGTACCAAAAGAAGGCCTACGCTTGGTAGATTTTCATGGCTTAAAAATTACAAAAACCAAAAACTAATGACAAACAAAAAGTCAAAACTAAAAAGCAAAAAATAACTAGTTATTATTAGTACTGATAGGTTACCCACCCACTGATAGGTTAGAAGTCGGTGCCATAAGCTCATATCATAATAATATAACTTAATGTCCACAAAATAATTTTTCCTTAATAGGTTTTAACCTTAACCTTAATAGGTTTAAGTAAGGTTTTAACCTTAATAGGTACCTTATTCACAATTTTGATGAATGAATGAATAATTTTTTATAGGATAGAAGGAACGTGCTCCAATAAAGGCAAATAAAATAGTAAAAAGGCAGCGTACTTCAAACATTTAACAATAGTTTACTTTAAGATATAGTTGTGAACTTGTGTTACATCAGAGTTTGACGTAGTTACTTAAGTAGACTGATTTTCTAAAGTAACACCTGTTAACGAAACAGTATGTATGTAAAGACAAGTTACTACATTATTTTATTGAAAAATTGAAACGACTTTCGACTGCCTCGTTGGCCGAGTGGTCGCAAGTGTGACTGCCGGGCAAGGGGTCTCGGGTTCGATTCCCGGGTCGGGCAAAGTATTACTGGGTTTTTAAAAATCTCAGTAGTAGCACGGAGTCTGGAAATGTGCCCGGTATATGACAATAGGCTCACCCCGTACTACATGGGACTCATAACTTAAATAGTGAAAAGTGGGTGTTACATTGTACAGTGGCATTAAATGCCGTAATGTGCACCTCTGCCTACCCCTTCGGGGATAAAAAGGCGTGATGTTATGTTATGTTATGAAAAATTCAAACAAACAATTTTGTAGTGCTGTTATCTACCGCTAATACGAAGATAGAATTTGGTCGACAATGTCAAGCAACTTATTATACATAGATATGTATATGAACTAATATAACTTCCCAACGAACAACGGGCAACAGCTCACTGGTCGGAAAATAGGTGCAAAAACTCACAGTTCTTCAATACTACACTGAGTTGAGCCTTGATGAGCGCTGGCCACGTGTCACTGATCAGTACAGCGTAGTCGTTCGTATCGATCTCATGTTTCAAGAACTGCTCCAACTCCGCCTTGTTGTAGAACGATGATACTATCATCCTAGAAGAAGAAAAAGAAGAATTAGAACAGTAATGGTGAATCTTTACGAGTCGACGTGTACTTTTTTCTATAGAAATGTCTTTTTTTTTAATGGGGCAAGCCCGCCACAACCTCCCAAAACCGCTGCAACTCCTGTAAGCCAGGATCTACAGTAGATACAACCATGAAAACACCGGAACATTGAAGTCCAGCGCGTCCCAGGGACATGAGAGATATAGAAATGTCTATTAAGGTTGTAAATATACGCCACTCAGTATTCAGTCACTCAGTAGCAAACAAAGCTAAGCTCTGATCGTAAGCTCAAAACTGTCACCACATACTATAAACCTGCTTACCAGTGACATTAACAAGTGTGTTTTCCATCGTAAAGTTGCCTATGAGGCAAGTGCCCTAAATATTATTTTGCAAGGTCACGCATGAATTAGGACATCTTTAGTTAAAATGTAGAAGGCTCTCTTAATAATGTAAAACTAAAATGAAGATAATATATTCTTAAAATGACTACTTACTCTATAACCTCCTGTTTGTGTTCGTCAGCGAGTGGTTCAGCAGAGAACAGCTCTTTGTCATCGTCATCCTGCTGCGGACTGGTGCCCATGTGGGACAGTACCTCGCCCAGGTTGGAGGCACCGAGGAAGTCACTGATATCTAACGGAGAAATGGAGACTTAAAATCAAAAATCTTCGCGATAGGAAAATCTCAGGATCAAATACCTACTGATAGATCTTTTACTCTCAATGAGTATGTGCGACAATTCCACAGTAGTAAACACTATTTTATTTAAGATCAAGTTCATAATCAGCTACGAGAAATGAGCTAAGAACAAATATTTTAGAAGACTTCTCTCATTCAGAATATACAGAAAAAAAATATTACCCAGACATCAAAGCACTTGGAACTTCAAAACGGACCTTAATATCAGTTACCTGAACCACAGAAGATTAAAGAATGTAAAAAATTCGCATCGACTTTTGCATTTAATAACTCACCAATATAATATCCCTTGTCCCTCAACCTGGTGATAGTATAAATAGAGTTGAGGGAGTTTCCTCCCAGCTCATAGAAGCCGGCCCTCACGCTGATGGCACCGCGGACAGCCCTGCCCAGTACCTCGCCCACCGTCTCAAACAGAACCTTAGCAGCTTGCATGTCCGATGGGGAAACAGAGGAGTAGTCCAGTTCTAGGGGTATTTCTGAATCATCTGGTGAAGGAAAATTAAAATTAGATTGTGTAATGTAGCTATGTGATAACGGAAAAGTAGAATCAGGGACTGGGCAGCAGCGTTTGCTGACAAACTTGATCATTTTAACCGATTTAAAAAAAGGAGGAGGTTCTCAATTCGACCGTATATATGCTTATTTTATATGTGTTCACGCGATATCTCACATATTTATAAACCGATTTTGATAATTCTTAACTGCCGTCTTTAACTTGCTTGCCCAGCGCAATCCCTTAGAGTCATTATCAAATCAAGAAGGAGCCAGAAACTATTGATAATGATGACGTGAGTTACATTATGTACAAGGGTCATTTCCAGGGTATCAAAATTAAAAATCTAATAAGTCCGTCAGTTAGATAATGAAAACATATTAGACACGTATTTTTTTTTATTGTCTCGTATTAAGTTGCAATACTTAGATAAAATGGCGCTAAGTTTAGGAGCCGTTACGTCATAACGTGCTACAAAATGTGGCACGCTGTGACGTCAATCAATAGTTCAAATTTATATATCGTCGAAAGTATTTAATTTTGTGAGAAAAGAAAAAAATCGTGTCTAAAGTTTTAAATTAATGTTTTAAAGTAATGTAAAAACCAGATGGACATTAAAATAAAATTTAGGAAACTACCCTATTACGAGAAGCTTAGCACTAACCATTATTATTGGTGTTTTCATACATCTTGAGAAGCGCTTGTCTATCCACTTTTCCGTTCACCAGCAACGGTATGCTCTCTACTTCAATCACCTGCAAACATTCGTTTATTAGTACATACACATACATCTGCATTTCGTTTTTATGATAGGTAAATTATCCAAGTTCCATTAAAAACTTTATTAACTACATAATGTTATTTTATTACCTGAGGAATCATGTAATGAGTGAGGCTGTTCTTGAGGGCAGCCTCAATATGCTGAGCAGCGATCCTGGCTTCAGGTTTGATGGTGACGAAGGCCAGGATCTCAGGGTTACCACGATCTAGACCGTAGCATAGTACTACACCTGAAAATTGAAAAGTAAAATGTTAGGTAGATATATCTTCTAGACTTCATTTTATGCGACCAGTTTCTTCAATCAGCAATCTTAATTTTTGACTATTACTAAACTTGAATACAATTTTCTCAGAAATAAGTTACTAGTAATGTCGGAATACTGATACGATACTCAATTTGAAGTCGTGCTTAAGTGTAGTTGTATCTCTACAAATTCTTTGTAAAATGACAAAGATGGCACGATATTTGAGCACAACTTAAAATTGAGTAACGTTTCAGTATTCCGGCATAAATTGTTTTCTATTCCATTTTTAAAACATGTTCTAATTCTATTATTTGATGTAAACATTCTTAAAAAAATTAAAAATGGAACATCAATCTGAGCTGCTCACCGCAGCGTCTTTTTATCTTTTTTTTTAAAGCGCGTCTTTACATTATGGCTGTGACGGAGCCGATGGCCTATTGTCCTTTACTCACATTTATCAACACCGTTAACTCCAGCGACAGCTCTGTCCACCTCCTGCAAGTCTACCCTATGTCCTCTGATCTTGATCTGCGAGTCAGTGCGACCAGCGTACAGGATCACTCCCTTTTGAAGCACGCCGAAATCACCAGTACGATACAGACGAGCGAAGTCTGGAAAAAAATTCAAGTTAGGGTTTTGAGAAGTTAGATTAAGATAGCATAATCCTATGAACTTCTCCAATATCGTGGGTGCGTTTACAAACTCATTATTTTTCATAGACGCCACACGTTGCACAGCATAGAGCCAGTACAAGAATTTGCGGAATCCACACACTTTGCAGGCGACACGCCATCGTCGTGTTGCTAAACATGTTGGAATCGAAAAAATAAAGAATTGTAGCAACAAGAGTGAAAGAAAAAGACTGGCACAGTTTGTACTTTTTTTCTAGGATATACTTGGATGTTTTTAAAAAAAATCCGGTAACTGCCGCCTTGCTGATCACCTGGTTCCATTTGGTCGTCAACTTCAGGGACATCTTGTATGTGGGCACCATGTTTGAAACATTAATTCATAACTTTTTTTATTTCAGGAGTTGATTCCGTAATCCCATTAATTTTTGACGTAGTATTTAATTGTTGTTACATCTTTCTCACATGTAATAGGTCAAGAATCAGATAATCAGTCAATGAGACTGTAAAAACACTTTTTTTAATAGTAATAATGCGGTTCTCCTCGTTCTTCTCCATTCAAAACTAAACTTTGGAATGAGCGCCTAGCTTCAGTGACAAACAGATGGACGGACAATTCAATGTTTGACGTTTCAAAAATGCCTTACTAACGACTAGATATAATAAATACTTTGACTTCTGCTATTAGTAAAATACACATACCCGGATGAGCAGCATGAGGGTTATCAATGAACTTGTCAGCTCCCTGTCCTCCCACGTAGCCCTCAGCCAGGTTCCGTCCAGCCACCCAGACCTCGCCAGGCTCCGACTCATGAGCCGGGTTCATTTCCTCATCCAAGAGGTACACAGCACAATTGTTCAGTGGAGTTCCTGGTGGGAAATAAATACGCTGATTTATGTTCTTACTATCTTACTTGACACATAAAATACCTAGAGGGTGACCGATGTTAGCGGATGAAATGCCTTCAACAATTTTGTTTTGTCAGTCAAAATCTTCATCTTTTGTACCTATCCTTGTGTATTATAAGCTGAAATTATCGAATTTTATATTTTTAGTACTCGGTAATTTAAACTCTACGCTCTAACAGATAAAGTTCCTTTGTATAAACAAATTAACACAACATAACATGACACCTTTTTATCCCCGAAGGCGTTGGCAGAGGTGCACATTACGGCACTTAATGCCATTGCAACACCCATTTTCTCTATTTTTGTTATGCGTTCCATGTAATAGGGAGTGAGTCTGTTGCCATATACCAGGCACAATTCCAGACTCCCTGATACTACTGAGAATTTTTAAATGCCCGTTTATGCTTTGCCCGACCCGGGAATCGAATCCGAGACGCCTTGCCCGGCAGTCGCATTTACGACCACTCGGCGAAAAAGACATTCTTTTGAATTAATAAAAAAAACACCTTAATATACGTACACCTTAATATAAGACGTATTTTTTTAAGGGGGGTAAAATCATCGAATGACTGGTCCCACCTGGGTGAGGCGGGAGGGAGTGTCAGACTCTTACTGACTAAAAATCGCCCCGTTCCTTCTCCTGCACTTCGAGCCGGAGCCCCGGTAAAGACGTATAGGATTTCCATTCATTTCCATCCCATATTGAACAGATGCCACTCCAGTAGCACACCAAATCATCATCAAGTTAAATCATCTCCATCTTCACTTACCAATAGGAATAGTAGAATGGATATCAAGCTGACGAGTATTCTCCAACACATAGTAAGTAACATCTCCCATCACTTCAGTGCTGCCGTAGAAGTTCGCCAGTTTATACCCATTATGGTCACCGAAGTTCTTGAAGAATTGTGCAGCCAGGTCTTTGCTCAGGGTCTCTCCAGAGCATACCCAGAGCTTGAGGTGTTGGAGAGGTCTTTCGGAAGGTTTCAGGGAAAGATACATGAGGATAGACCGAAGAAGAGTAGGTACCAGCACTAGACGTTGGATCTGAAATTGAAATGGTATTGTTGGAGACGTTACAGGTTTAAGGCTTATTTTACAGTTTATTAAATCATTGATTTATGTGATGTGTAATTACAAATTAACATAACATAACATCACGCCTTTTATCCCCGAAGGGGTAGGCAGAGATTCACATTATACCACTGTACAATGTAACACCCACTTTTCACTATTTATGTTATGAGTCCCATGTAATAGGGGGTGAGCCTATTGCCATATACCGGGCACAATTCCAGACTCCGTGCTACTACTGAGATTTTTTTAATAACCCAGTAATACTTTGCCCGACCTGGTAATCGAGACCCCTTGCCCGGCAGTCGCACTTGCGACCACTCGGCCAACGAGGCAGTAATTGCAAATTAATACTTCAATAATTTTAGTTTTTCCAGGTATATGGCAATACACTCGGTAATTTAGAAATTAGCATTTTGAGTTAGGTAACAACTAACCTGGTTATCAGCTAAAACGTTGACCAGTTTCTGAGGATCCCTAGTGGTCTCTCGGGACAGGATGACCAAGGTCCTGCCGTGCAGTAGAGGTCCCCAGATTTCACAGACAGAGTCCACGAAGGTCAGAGCAGTCTTCCAGACGCAATGTACTTCAGAGTCAGTGTACGGGAAGGTCTGGAACTGCCACCAGAGACGGTTGCAAACTGCTGAGTAGGAGAGACGAACACCTGGAGAAAATGGGAAGAAAATTAGACTTTACGAACTTTGTATTGTAACTTTCGTGAGACATACTAAATAAATTATTATGTTTTCGGCTTACTCACGTAGTAATTTGACGAGGAACTCGACTAGTTTCAAGCCATGCGTGACCCGCGACGCGGCGACTGTCACGCTGCTACTAGTAGCTGCTGCTAAATGCTGCTCATGAATATGAGCCTCTAGCATGGCTTGAAACTAGTCGAGTTCCTCATCAAATTACTACGTGGGTAAGCCGAAAACATAATAATTTAGGAACTTTGGTTTAGATTACTATTTTGATTGGTTGTCCTTAGGTCTGTTCTTTCGTTGTACAAAATATTGTACAACGAAATTATCAACAGACGGTTTAAAAGTAATCCAAGAATAATTAAATTAATTATTACCTTTCGGGATACCAGTACTGCCAGAAGTATACAGTACGATGGCGATGCTCTCACTCCTCGCTGGAGCAAATACCTCCGCATCCTGGACAGCCTCAGCTGATAGTCCACTAGCTTCATGTGACAACTCCTCGAATGACACTGTTGGAATGCCACTTTCAGAAAACATGGCGGGATTGGCTGGAATAAAAAAGATACGGTCTTTAGAATTAATGAAGGCTTTTTGGTTGATGTTGATCAGTTTTATTTTTTTAAAAGAACGTTGCCCCACACTAGGATTTTCTCCTGTGTCGTGGGTGCGTTTACAAACATACAATATCAATTTGTGGATCACACAAAGAGTTGCTCCGTGCGGGAATCGAACCCGCTACACGAGCCGGTTGCCCAGCCACTGCGCCAACCATGCAGTCAAATTAGAAGTCAGCTTAGAAGGAAGAAAGGTATTTTTTTCAATTAGACTACTATTTTTCCAAGGCTTTGATTCAAGTGAAACTTTCTTGTGTAGCTTGTGTAGAAACTTTATTATGCTATAAAATTATATTCCACGCTAAGACATCAACATCAGCAACCTGTTCTCGTCCAATGCTTGACAATTGACATAGGTCTCTCCAATGGCACACCATTGAGCTCAATCTGTACTGTGTCTCCTCTTGTGTTGCGCTCATCGCTTACCATCAGGTGATTCGTCTGCTTGTTTGCCTCCTATACCATAAAAAAGAAATGTTCATCTCTCTATCCAACCTCTACCAGCCACTTTACGTCCTCGCTAGCACCGTCTCCTAATGTCTGGGTTGCATTTACAAACCATGATAGACATTAAACCCAGACCCCAAGAGCAGGAGTAGGAACGGAGTGGTTTTTAGTTAGTAAGAGTCTGGCACTCCCTCTCGCCTAACCCAAGGCGGGAGAAGTAGTCGCGGAGAACCTAACGGGTAACCGGGGCTCCGGCTCGAAGTGCAGGAGAAGGAACGGGGTGGTTTTTAGTCAGTAAGAGTCTGACACTCCCTTCCGCCTCACCCAGGCGGGAGCAGTCATTGGATGATATTCGCCCCTCAAAAAAAATTGTACCCAAGATTTTAGTGTAATCAAATCAGTTGGAATATTAAACTAGGTGCTCACCTGTCTCATCATAAATAACAAGGGCTGGTTCAGCATCTTTCAAGATATGTGAGATCCTAGCTTGAGGGAAGCTCGGTTCCATCGGCACGTAGGCAGCGCCTGCCTTCCAAGTCGCCAGCAAGCTGGTGATGGTACTGAAAGAACACACAAAGATAAAATTAAATTGTTCTTATTGTCACTTGTGTTTTCTTTTTTTTTTTGTATATTTAATTTCTATTATTATCGTATATATCGTATTGTACATTATTTTGTTATACTGTGGTGATTTTTGTTCTTTTCTCTACTCTATTAAGTTTATTATTTATATTTTGTTTTTGTGTATGTACCTTGACTGCACGGTTGGTGCGGCAGTTGAGCAACTGACTGCCGCGCAACGTGTTGCGGGTTCGATTCCCGCATGGAACAACTCTTTGTGTGATCCACAGATCGTTGTTCCGGGTCTGGGTGTCATGTGTATGTGAACTTATATGTTTGTAAACGCACCCACGACACAGGAGAAAATCCTAGTGTGGGGCAATGTTTAAAAAAAAGAAAATGTACCTATCTGTATTTTTATTTTTTATAATCTTGTTGTTTTGTGTGCTAATTGCCAAATATTTGTTTTTCTTTCTTTTTTACTTGACTGTTCTAAGTGTAATAAGGATTCGTTTTTTAACCAACTTCAAAAAAAGAAAATATTGTCTAATCATCGATTTTTTATGATCTAGCCCATGAAACTCCGGTGCTAAATTATGGGTCTTCTCTTCAAAATAGGAGCCATATTCTCAATGCTTGACAGACTTGGAGATCGTAGTATAAAAGCATTACTGGATTAGGTGTATCAGAGAGCTTAGTAGAAACGAGACTTGTTTGCCTCTCTGATTGGTTGTTTCATTGGAGCCGGCCAATCAGAAGACTTAGACCGAGTTTATTTGACGTTTAAACTTTAAAGTAATCGAAACGAATACACTTTCGACGCTCTGATTGGTCAGTCCCAATGAAACAACCAATCAGAGCGTCGATCACGGTCTCGTTTCGATTACTTTAAACGTGAAACATATTCGTGCTAAGGCCTCAGAGAGTGCTACTGCCCAGTATCAATTAAATACGTAATCCCTTAGTCGGTTCTTAGATCTCATGACACCCATGTGAAGAGGGGGCTAAGGATCAATAAAGAATACTAACTTGTGTGTAGGCTGCATACACACAGCGATAACGTAATCTCCATCTCTGTTAGCTCCCTTAGGTGCAGCGCGTGATGTTATGGCTCTGGCAAGGGCGTTAGTGCGAGCTTCCAATTCCGCATAACTCACTCGTACACTGCAAGTCTCATCTGAAATCAGAGATAAAGAAAAATAAGTATTTTGATGAATTGTAGTGATCACATACAGATACAAGTTCGACGGCGTGACCAATAGATGGCGTGATGAGACGAGACGGTTATTAATTTTGGTCGTAAGCCAACTTCGATCGAATAAACATAGCATCGACCAAGATTATCAAAAAATCACAGAAATATAATAAATCTTATTATATCTATGATAAAAAAAATAACGTATTTCCGTGTCGAAACATTACACTATTCCTTAGGTACGAACTTCTCTATGATAATGCATTAGAAACGTAATTTTTTTACGGGATAAGCCTGAAATGGTAGCGACGTTACGAATGCAATACCGGCCCTTTGAGGAATTTAAGGATTGTTGGGGATTCGGGGCCTAGGGCCTCCGGTAACCTCACTCACACGACGAAACACAACGCAAGCGTTGCTGCACGTCGGTTTTCTGTGAGGCCATGGTATCATTCCGGTCGACCCGGCCCATTTGTGATGAATGAAGCATAGCTTTCCCACACTTACATTGATTAATGGAAGTTTTAGTCCTATGCATTAAGTATTCGTTTTATAGGTTAAAGACGTACCCCATGTTCTTCTTGTTCGATTATTATACGATACTCAGAATTGAGACATTAATAAACCCAGTAATGCAGTCAATTGTTACTTAGATATTGTTAAATGGTGTCCTAATAAGGTGTTCTAAAGTATTTTAATTACAAACCATGTAATTACATTGTCAATATCACCTTATACTTTTAGTAAAAAAATGTCGTTACCATAATGGCAGAGTAATGACGCGGATAACTTATTAAAACCTTATTGAAATTCTTATGCAGCTCTTAGAAATGTTGAATTACTTATAAACACTTTGTACCTGCTTAGTTATAGCAGTAATTATTAAAAACTTGAGAAATCAAGCTCTTTGGGTAGGTATTCGTCGTGGTGGCCCGGAGGTATAAGACGCCCGTGCATGAACATGTGGGTTCCAAACCTACCAATAGCAAGTACCAATGTGACTTTTCCGAGTTATAGGTATATACTTTCTAAGATTATCTAGACACCACTGACAAAAGGTGAAAAAAAACATCGTGAACAAATCTGCGCAAATATGTATAATTTCTAATTAAATAGGTTTGAAATCACCCACCCGTAATGAACAACCGTGGTGATTAATGCTCAAACCTGGTTTTAAACTTCTTTAAAGTGCATTGACTTTGATCCCAATAGAAAAGTTAAAGTAAATTACGATTTAGCGGAATTAAAGCAACTTAAAGTTCTTTACATAAGTACATAACATAACATAAAATCACGCCTTTTGTCTCCGAAAGGGGTAGGCATTTGTTACTATTTACCTCTATGTTATGAGTCCCATGTAATAGGGGGTGAGCTTATTGCCATATACCGGACACTATTCCAGACGGCAGACTCCATGCTATTACTGAGAGTTTTTAAAAAACTCAATAATATTTTGCTTGACCTGGGAATTGAACCCAAGACCCCTTGCCCAGCAGTCGCACTTGCGATTGAACTCGTAAATCAAACTCCATATCATTAAAGTCAGCTTCATTATAATAAATTATCTTATTAAGTACCTATGTATTATTATTTATTATTGTCTGTGCAGAATGTATTTAATAATACTTTTATTATTTTATTTACACTCGATACAAGTGTTACGAGGTCACATATCTTTGTGGCAACGAAATTGTTGCAATAGTGTCTTATTTTTTATGTACCATTTGACTATCATATATGTATAGCTTAAAAACTAAAATGCAATTTAGTCGAAAATCTACAGATATAATGATATTATAATTAGCCTTTTAAACCCGAAGGAGTATGCATTCTCTGCACCTTAGAGGCCTTAGTACGGTACTCTGAGGCCTTAGGCGAAACGAGACCGCGTTCGGGGCTCTGATTGGCCGGCTCCAATGAACCAACCAATCAGAGCAATAAACCAACCAATGAGAACGCCGAATGCGGTCTCGTTTCGATTACTTTAAACGCAATAGAAACTCGGCCTCTGGGCGCACGCAGATAATTTAAGTGTGGGAAAGCCATGCTTCGACACTGCTGGGCCGGATCGACCGGGGTGATACCACGGCCTCACAGAAAACCGAAGTGAAACAACGCTTGCGTTTTGTTTCGTCGTGTGGGTAAGGTTACCGGAGGCCCAATTCCTAGTGTGGGGCAATGTTTAAAAAAAACAAAATAAAAAGCTATTGCCATTACACCGAGAGCAGACTTCGCGGTATCTACAAACTGAGAAGGTCTCAATAATATTTTGCCTATCTAAGGAACCAGGCATCGAGATAGTTTTGTAATTAGTATCTAGTCGAGTGACTTTTTGTTTGTTTTTTAATCTACGATCTAGTATCTCTACATGTCACGGAGAACCTAACGGGTTACCGGGGCTCCAGCTCGACGTGCAGGAGAAGGAACGGGGTGGTTTTTAGTCAGTAAAAGTCTGACACTCCCTCCCGCCTCACCCAGGCGGGAGCAGTCATTCGATGATTTTCCCCCCTTAATAAAAACAGTATCTCTTCACTCCTCATTGTAAACATAATAAGGACAGAGCATCTAATATAATAATTAACGAAGTAGGACACAAAGATTGCTTGATCATATCAATCAGAGGTTCCCACATAAAATTAACATCAAGTATTGTGCAATCGTTTGCGGTATGCTCTTAATTGGTCCATTCAGTACTTCTCACTTGATGTCCACGATATCATTAGAGTTGTAGAATTTGTATTATTCATAAACTATTATCTAAGGTACTTTGATAATGTGTTAAACTGAATTTTGAATAGAATTCAATCTGAATGACGGAGATGGAATACAAAAAACTGTGGGTAAACAAAGGTTCATGTAAAAAGTGAGTCACTAGTTTTGACCACTCAACCATCGAGTTAGAATTATTACTCTACTAGCTTTTACCCGCGGCTTCGCTTGCGTCACAAAAGTTTAAAAGTACCCTATGTGACATATACCAATACACACAGCGCCATCTATACCAATTCTTTTGTTTTCCCTAGTGAATATCTAAATTTTCCGGGATAAAAAGTACCCTATTATTTAATCCGGACTTCTAACTTTACGTATGCAAAAATTCAAAGCAATCGGTTTAGAAGTTACGGCGTGAAAGCGGAACAAACAAACAAACAAACTCACTTTCCGATTCATAATATTATATAGTAAGGATAACATAACAGCCTTTTGTCAAATAGATAAACAATAGATAATCAAACAGATAAAAGTGCACATCACGGCACTTAATACCACTGTACAATGTAACACCCACTTTTCACTATTTATGTCATGAGATACATGGGTGTAGGGCAGGGGGTGAGCTTATTACCATATACCGGGCACAATTCCAGACTCCGTGCTACTATTAAGATTTTTTTTAATAACCCAGTAATACTTTGCCCGACCCGGAAATCGAACCCAAGACGAGATCCGGCAGTCGCACATACGTCCACTGGGCCAACGAGGTAGTCTACTTTATTTTTACTTTTCATCAAAAAGATATATTTTTTTTCTTGAAACAGAGATAAATCAATGCTTAGGATCATTAATAGAATGGATGACCGAAAATAATTTAAAAATAAACATTGACAAAACTAAAATAATGACATTTGAACAAAAAACTAATCACAATAAACTTGACATTAGATACAAAGACAAAATAATTGCAGAAACAGTATCCACGAAATTCCTAGGAATAGAACTAGACAGAGACATGTCATGGCGAACTCACACAAATACCATATGTAAGCGACTGAATAAGCAGTCATACGCCCTATACAAACTCGCAAAAGAAGTAAACCAGAGTATTGTCATCACGGCGTATCATGCATGTGTGACATCGATATTACGATATGGTATTATTTTCTGGGGTAACTCCTCGAATACAGACATAGTATTTAAAGCACAAAAGAGATGTGTTAGGGCAATATGCGGTATTCAAACAACAGACAGTTGTAAACCATATATTGAGAAATTACGTATATTAACATTACCATGTCTGTACATATATGAGGTAGCAATGTTTGTGAAAGGGAACCCTAGACTATTTGAAACATTAAAAAGCGCGCCAAAAATAAAATCCGTTATAGACAACACAAGAAAGCAATCTTCCACAAGAGCTTTTTATTGATGGCACCATCGATATATAACAGACTACCTAAACATTTACTCGAAACCAGGGAAATCAATGTGTTTAAAGTAGAACTGAATTAATTTCTAGTAAAAAAGGCATACTATTCGATAAAAGAATATTTAACAAACATTGTCTTAATATGACTACAGAAATATTGACATATTGTTATTTTTATTGAACTTTTATTTCTGGACATTGATTAATATTGTATAATTATGACTTACCTATTTGATATTTGTATTTTTCTTTATTCATTTTTAAGTATGTTGTTGTGCTTTAGTAATAACTTGTAAAGTGTTGACTGAACTCATAACTAATAAAATTGCTGTAATCTGGAACTTGTCAATTGTAATTTACGAATAATAGTTGCATGCCTTGATTGGTGGAACATGATGAACTGCGCATTCATCTAACATCTTGAAATGCATCTAAATGTACTGTGTTCAGCAATAAAGATATTTGATTTGATTTGATTTGATTTGATTTGATTTGATTTGATTTGATTTGATTTGATTTGATTTGATTTGATTTGATTTGATTTGATTTGATTTGATTTGATTTGATTTGATTTGATTTGATTTGATTTGATTTGATTTGATTTGATTTGATTTGATTTGATTTGATTTGATTTGATTTGATTTTTATATTTATCATCAAATTTCTATTCCGTCGATCTTCTATCAAAGGTACATTACCTGAATACACCAGGGCGGTGTTATCACTGGTGGCCAGGTGTGAGAGGTGCTGTGGTAGCGGGGCGGCGGGCACCAGCGTGCGGGCGCCGTTCACCACCGAGACCCGAGGCAGGGAGCCCATTGTTTACTGTAAATAAAGAGAGGAAGGTTTAGACAGTTTGCCTAGAAAACCATCATGAACAATCCACCGCTACACTATGTGTCTCAGTCCTACATAAGTAGTCCCTTTAGCAAAACGCTACTTTAGCGCTTGTCTACACAGAGAGTAGAAAACTAAATGTATGGGGATGACACTGACAAGTGTCAAAATTTACGTCAATTCCATATAATTTGGTTTTCTATTCTACATGTAGACAAGCGAATAATGGCATTTGGCTACAGCTGCAGATATGAGGATTTCCCAAAATCTGCTCCAAGCGTCCAGCAGACGGGACAGGGATTACAGCTTAAATAAAGTGTTCAGACTTTTATAAACCGCTGCTTGTTCCTGCTGGAAGCGTTTGCTTTGCTTGCTGCTCATGAGGAAGAACTCCTCTGTGGTTGGAAACTAGTAAAGCTTTTCCCAGTATTGTCACGTGATTAGCACGCGATTTTTAGCTCTAATTTATAGATAGAGGGTTTAAAATGAAAAAAAAGACGCTGGTGATTCCGTTTCTTAGCTCCTAAGCGAATGATATTTACGCAGTTAACTGATGCAAGACGTACCTAATATATATATCATAACAAACCACTTCAAATAATCTAAATCTAAACCCATATTAATAACAACATACTAAAATAAATTATTATTATAACATAACATAACATCACGCCTTTTAATCCCAAAAAGGTAGGCAGGTGCACATTACAGTACTTAATGCCACTGTGGGGGTGGGAAAGTGGGGGTTACATTGCACATTTAACCCCCACTTTTCACTATTCATGTTATGAGTCCCATGTGATAGGGAGTGAGCCTATTGCCATATACCGGACACAATTCCAGACCCCGGGCTACTACTGGATTTTTAAAAAAAAAAACCAGTAAGCTTTGCGCGACCCGGGAATCGAACCCTAAACCCCTCGCCTAGCAGTCCCACTTGCAATCACTCTGCCAATGAGGCAGTCCTAACTAAAATAAATTGTACCCATTAAATGGTTACCAGTACCAAGATTACAGCTACAATAGACTTGACCAGTCTACACCTCATATACAACTCATCCTGAATAGGCCAGGTTAGTGTACTTTTATTGGATAATAGACCCAATTGACCTATTACTTGGTAGGAATGTAACTGTGATTTCATTGAAGGAAACGGTATAAGTGTGGCATACATTGGTCGCTGTAAAAATAGGTCAGAGTGTTTTTATGGTCCTATCTAAAATGTCAGGTTATTTTGGTTAATTTTGCATAGATGAGGTTGGAAAATGATTTAGACTCACTATTTTATTTGTTTTTTGTCATATCTATACTAATATTATAATGCTGAAGAGTTTGTTTTTTTGTTTGAACGCGCTAATCTTCGGAACTACAAGTCTGCATTGAATAATTCTTCTTGTGTTAGATAGCGCATTTATTGAGGTAGGCTATAGGCTACAAAACATCACGCTACGACCAATAGGAGCAAAGCGTGTAAAACCGCGCGGAAGTAGCTAGTGTCAAATATTTTCAATCTGCTATGACAAAGATGTTGTCCAAAGCAAGGCACAATGTTTCTTGACGAATATTTTCACTAACAGCGCGAAAAGTAGATATTTATCTTTCTAATGTTTCAGGAAATATAAAACTTGTGGTTGACTGGGAGAGAATGCCATATGGCATTAATGTCTGCCTTATGTACTATTACTTGTTTCTGTGTACATTAAAGTTTAAATAAATAAATTAATATCATAACATAGGTACATATTTTCATTAACAATCAATCAAATACCTAATATCACGTATAATACAGTAGGTACACTTTTCCTTACTGGTTAACATACGGACATACTCTATTTTAAAGCCCGAAAAGCTTAAACAGTTAATTTCATTAACACCATAGATTTTAATATTCCTTTTGTTTTTTTTAAAGAACGTTAGTCTACACTGCGATTTTTCCTGTCTTGTGGACGTGGATACATTTACAAAACATATATCATTTTTCATGTCATTGTTCATTTATAATGAACAAAATCATTATGTAAATGTCAAAGCTCAAAGTGATTCGGTTTTTACACACATTTATGTTTCAAGCCCAAAGGCCTTGTCTTGCTTAAGTTTTTGTATGCAGCTGTATAATTATACAAAATGTACCTATGCTTAAGCAATCATTAAACTGCAATCGCTATTTATTACTTAATTTACAATTTACAACTTAATTGATGACTTCGTTAAGCATGTTTTAGCTCGACCGTTGAGCATTGAATGGAAGGTCTTAGGTCCGACCCAAATTCAATTAAAAATTGACAGTTATGCTTATAACTGTCAATTTTTATTATTTTTCAATATTTACGTATAAAGTGATTGAGACGAGACCGCGTTCGGCGCTCTGATTGGTTCGTTTATTGGTGCCGGCCAATCAGAATGCCGAACGCGGTCTCTTAATACCCATTTATCCCCAAGCGGTCACCAGTGACCGCTCTCTACTAACTATATTATAGACCTTATTTCCGATGTTCAGAGACTACTTTTGTATGAATGAATGAATGAAGGTGATGATATTTCAACAGGTTAAGACCTCTGTACTGTGAGTGACCATTTTTATGCGCTTTATCAATGTTGTCCCAATCTAGAAAATTTCTCTTGTATGAATGCAAGTGGTGAATTCTCGTTCGACGTGGAAGACTAAGGGGAAAGCCTTTGTTCAGTAGTGGACGTTATCGAACTGATAATGATGATGATGAATTTGTGGATTGAACGGAATGATTTCGAGTGGCGTGCACCATGTCCAGCAATGGACCTGTCCATCAGGTTGATGATGACGTACCATAAAACAAGTAAAACATATTTACTAAAAACCCCCTACAGGGCATTCATAACATCTTAATGCCCCTTTACAATGTAACACCCACTTTTCACCATTTATGTTATGAGTTCCATGTAATACTACAGCGCATTCCTTAGGGGATTTATTTAAGGGGGGAAAATCATCTAATGTCTGCTCCCGCCTGGGTGAGGCGGGAGGGAGTGTCAGACTCTTACTGACTAAAAACCACCCCGTTCCTTCTCCTGCACGTCGAGCTGGAGCCTTGGTAACCCGTTAGGTTCTCCGCGACATTCCTTAGGGCATAAACAATAAAATAATCTTTTGCAATGACTTAGAAGGTAAGTATTTCGTATCAATAAGGAAATAATAAACATGCAACCAATTACAAGATATTACTAATGTAATGATGTTACTTTACTCGATTCTTGCGTCATTTCATTAAAAACTACTTTATTTCTAGATTTTCTAGTATTTATTTATTATACCTAACATACGTATCGAGTTATACAGAACCAGTATAAACTGACCTTCGAATGTGGGGAAAGATCATACAAAGAGAGTTCATGATTAATTGGTTAGTATAGTTTTATGTTCAGTCGTGTGTAGTTCTAATGTTCACATTTATTTGCAAACTGTTCTTACGTTTGTTTGTTTATTGCATACATGTGGCATTACTGCATTTAGTTGTGAATTTACATACATGTGTCAGTTTTAATAGGTACCTAGAACTTGAAAAAGGGGGTACACATCTATTAGACAAATAAGTTGATAGCCGATTTTTCTTCTGAATGTCATAGTGGTTTATCCCTGGTTTACTAAAATACAGTCTCATTAAATACTTATGTATACATAACTGCTGAAAGCAGCGTATGATCGTATCATAAGATATGAAGATAATATAATTACCTACCTACATTACTGCTAATCCCTTCAGACGCCTTCGTACGAGTTTGTTTTACGATTCGAAACGAGACCACGTTCGGCGCTCTCATTGGTTGATTCATTGGAACTGGCCAATCGGAGCGTTGAACGCGGTCTCCAGAATAAATCAAGCGTGATTTTACGTCGAATGTTAATTATCATACTTACCTATATTTTGTAACAAAATTAAACTCATGACGATTAAATAATGACTTAATAATAAAAACTATAAAATAGGTACTTGATGAATTCATTGAAACTATAAAAAGGTTTAATTGAGTATCGAACAAAATTATCTATTAAATTCCTTAGTAAAACAAAACAATACGGTCATAAATATTATTTTAAGATCATCAGCAATTTGATGATCTTGACTTCAATTCTGATGACCGCGAATATACTTTGATTGATCATTGTGTTTTAGATTTTTATCTTTTAGATTTTATAGTTATAAACAGCAACATCACACTTTTTACCCTGTTAGTTAATTAGTATGTTCCACGATAGTTATTATAAACAAATATTCGATTTTATTATCAAATGAAAGATCTCGTAGGTAGGTAGGTACTCTACCGACATACTACTGTTTAACAGGCTACTGGATTTGAAGATTTATGCGAGTTTCTTTGAATTCCCAACTGAAGCATTTCCGATTATATAAATTTCTGTACTCAGTATTGTGACGAACTGTAATTTTGTCGAACTTAGATTTATATTGCAATGTTATATTTTATGAGTATGAAAACATTCAGATACAATGTAAATTACTAATTAACCTCTTGTCTGTCGGTATATATAACACACAATAGAAAACGCATTGTGTCTCGCGTCTCGCGCGGTAAATGTGCAGGCAGTAACCAATCAATCGGCATCGCCTATAGACACCTGTAATAGTAGAAGTATTAAAAGAAGTGCGTTACCTGGCTTTTCAGGAAAGTACACAACGCAAACGTTATTTCACGCCGGTTTTATGCGAAGTCGTGGTATCACTCCGGTCGAGTCATTTCGTGCCAAAGCATGGCTCTCCCACTATTTAAAGTAATTCAATATAATGTCCCACAGAGGTTACACAGCAAATTGTTATAACACTACCATTACATGATACATTATTTGATAGCTAGACGCAAGTCCTTAGCCTGGAAAGAAGTAAAACAATTGTTTGAACCTGACCTACTTGGTTAATAGTGGACTGTCGAAAATACGCGACCAACTGAACAACGACGTGCGTGGAGTAGGGTGACCGTGATATCTTTCTTTT